AGACCAACAGAGGGGCAGCCGCGCCACTGTCCCAGTAAGAGCTGAGGAGAGTCCCAGATGAGGGCTCGCCCAGCAGCCGCGGAGCAGAAGTCAGGGGGAGTTGCAGTGACGCGCCCGTGAGCTCCGCCGGCCCCCAGCTGCGCCTGAGTGACCGAGCCCTAGGCCGAGAGGCCGGGGGCACCCCACCTCCAAAGGGGCCCGAGCGAGCCCCAGGCCCCAGGCCCCGACAAGCGGCCGCCAAGGAGTGAGCCGGTGTGTACCCGGACGCCCACCCCCAGACACAAAGAACCACCAACACACCGACACCTGAGGGAGTCCGCCACCGGCAGGGGAAGTGGTGGTGGGTGGAGATAGGCCTCCAAACCTTGGAGGGCCTGAGATGTCCCCAGAGAGGTGGCGTCTGATACCCAACCTGACATATAGACACAGACATACAGGCACACACAGACACAAACATCCATTCCCACCCTCATGCTCTCATATGCACTCACTCCACACTCAACCAACGTGGAGACAGACATAAAGAGACGCTGTACACACAATCACACTCCCCAAGCGTACTCTACAAACCGGGTCTAGGTACCCTTGCCCCTGGAGGGGGGAATTGCACCCAGACCCAGGTGGTGTTACCCTTTTCCCTGCGGTGGGGAGAGGCAGACCACCCCGACTCCGCAGCAGCAGGGAGGCCCCACACCCCAGACCGCAGTCGGACGGCCAACTCCTCCTACTAGCCCTCCCGCTCCAGCAGGCCGCAGAGAATGGGGGTGGGAGAAGACTCCAAACCTCCCTCCACCCGCTCATTGTAGTGTTGATGCATATGTGTTCTAAGGTGCAATTAAAACCCAGGAGGGCATGGAGCTACCTGCCAAGGAGCAGCAGGTAAGCGCATAGTCCCTCCTGCTAGCCCTCAATGTCTACATGTATTTAAAATTGAGAGGTGGGCAACGACGTCAGGGGTGAGGTATACACCCTGATGGTGATTTGGACTCCGTGATTGTGCCCACCCCCAAGATCCTATATGTATGTGTAATGAGAGTGTGAATAATGTGAATGTCTAAGTTGTGGGATAAAATTGAGGCAGAGGCAGCCAGAAGGGGACAGGGGGGGGGTAGCCTCCTCTGCACCCTGGTGACATACCCCCACTCCAAGGCCCTGCATGTGTGGGTGGTTGTGGAGGAGCGGGAAGAGGGAGGCAGCTGGAGATGGGGAGGGAAGGAAGGGAGGGGCAGGTAACCCCTCCCTGGGGCCAGCTCCCCCGCTGACCCCAGTAGGCACTCCCACCCTCCGCGACCCGCCAGGGAAGGGGGGCCCAGGCCCATCAGACCGGGGCCCAGTGCAGTAGCGCCCTCCGGCTCCACAGAGCCCTGGACAGTCCACCCAACCCCACCACAGAGAAAACTGCACCCACCCCACCAACCACACATCTTCCAGACTACATAAGACGGTAAACGCCCAGGCTGAGATCTTCCTCCACCTCTCCTGTATCTCCCCCTCCTGCAGAGAGTTCCTGAGAGAAGAAAGCTCCTGCAAGATGTGACCATCCCCCCCACCAGTTGAAGAGCCCCCCAGGCGGCTCGATGCACTGGCGGCACCCTGCTCCAGGGCCGGGCCCCCATGCACCCACCCGCCCACAACCCCGGCAACACACCAACCAGGACCCGAGCCCCCGAGGCCCGGCCCGGGCCCCAGCCCAGAGACGGAGCGCCCCCAGAACCTCACGCCCATCCCGGACCCACCCAGGGGCAGCCAGGTTGCCAGGTCAGTAACCCGCGTCCGTCAGCACAGACCCTCCCCTAGCCCCGCTGCACGCAGCCGCGAGGAAACAGTCACCTGAGAGCCAACAGAGCCCTCAACCGGACGTGACCGCTACCCCGGGTTGAGCCCCCCAAGGAAGATGCCTCCGGGGAACCCCCCGACGCCCTAAGCCTGTCCCTACCCCCTCACCAATCACAACAGTGAAGGCGGGACCAAACTATGACCCCCCACCCCCACTAGGTGATGGAGCTGATAAAAGGGGCCCAGAGCAATTGATCTGATGTGGTGGCAGAGGCTGTGTCAAGACTAATGTAATCTAATAGATCATTTCTATATTGGTTAGAATTAAGATTATTTTTATTTTTCCAGTTCATGAGGACTGTTTTCTTGGCTATGCATAGGGCAGTGAAGATCATATGGGCTATATTCTTTTCTGAAGTGACATTATCTAAGCTGCCCAACAAACACACTAAGGGGGAGGTTGGAATGTTACATTTCAGACATTTTGATAAGTCTTCACATATCTCGCGCCAAAACTTTTGCACTGGTGGACAGAACCAAAGAGCGTGGATGTAATTGTCTGGTGTATTGCCTTGACAGTGTGAGCAGTTGTTGGAAGATGTAAAGCCCATCTTGAACATCCGATGACCTGTAAAGTGCACTCTATGAAGTATTTTGTATTGTATTAATTGCAGACTGGGATTTTTAATTAATTTAAAAGTTTTTAAGCAAATCTGAGACCAGAAGTTTTGGTCTAGGTTGACTGATAAATCTGCTTCCCACTTTGCAGTAGGAAGGGATATTGATTCATCTAATTTAGAAAGTGTTCTGTATATTTTAGATAATAATTTGGGGGATTTAAGAGTAAGGAAATGTGCCGCACTTAGTGGTGTTTGTAATTCAACTTGACTGAGGTTAAATTTCTTTTTTACTATGGATTTAATTTGTTGATATTCTAAAAACCTTGTCTTGTTGATCCCATATTGTTCAACTAGTCTGTCAAATGGAATAAATTCTGTTCCCTCTAATATATGTTCTAAGTATTTAATTCCTTTACAACTCCATTCTGGGAAATTAATCATATTATTGTTTTGTAATATGTCAGGGTTATTCCAGATAGGTGTACGTTTGCATGGGATTAATGAAGACTCCGTTATTTTTAGAAACTCCCACCATGCTGTTAGAGAAAAGCTGATGTTGATACTTTTAAAGCATTCATGTCTTTTGATGTTTGAGCTGTTTCATACGGGTCCACATTTCCAATGCACGCTATTTTCTGCAAGTACCGCCGCTTCGCCTCTGGACGCAATCGGTCTCTATACAGTCCATTCTCTATTGAGCAGCTTTTAAGCATCTTGTAATCGTCGTTCCAACACGGTGTTTGATTTGATTCGTAGACCCCGAAAATGGTGCCGCGCTCCCACAATGCATTGCGGCGTGACGTCAACTCCAAAGCCCTATACAAAGGTTTCGACCCTACACAAGAAGATTACAAGGATGGAAGAGGTGGTAATTCTGGGAGAGATGTCCTATTCAGAGAATGAGCCTGTCTGACAAAAGAGCTTCATTTGGGGAGAAAATAGTAGACAGTGGTGACAAACAGCTCCCACAGACATGTTTTGCTGGAAAGTCTTCTATCCTAAATAGATTTTAAAAAGCAGACCCTTGACAAAAAGAAAGATGAATACGTGACAGCCTGTGCTGTCTTTGGACCTGTGGAGGTGTGATTATACAGTCCAAATACAGAATGAAAAGTTTCATTCATTTGGTGAGCTTTGTCAGAATTGCTTTACCTACTTTCTGCTTTAATATGGATTGTGAGTATAATATGCACGCAGCATTTCTCCACGGTTACAGCAAGTTTATAGTTGTCTTGTTGCACAGCAAATGAGACAAGGTTCATTCAAAAGCATGGGTTGTTCCACTGCCCTTCTCTGCTGGGCATATGATGTTACGCCAAGGTCAGCACTCTCTTTGTCTTCCTAAACTCGCCTGTTGACATGAATGAATTAATCTAGTCATTACTTATTCATGTCGGTGGGATCAATTCTCTTCCCTCTGTTGCCTATGCTGATATTAAAGTTGGTTAAAAAGCATTTAGGGTTGGAATTTCTGGTTAAGTCATCTGCGGGCTGGAAGAACGACGTGGTTAATGTCCTTTCCTTTGTGATACCCTTTTGTAACAACAATTACTGATTCCACGATGAGCTGTTTCCACAGCCCTTCTCCTATTTAAACATAGACTTTAAATTATTTAAACACTGCGGGCCAAAAATTTCTGTGGTAGTGGATTTGTGTGTGCTCGTGCACTAAGAAATCTCTTTGTTTCAGCTTCAGGAGCTTTGTAGTCGTTAATATCATCGTATCTTTCAACTCTTTAGTTTATATAATATTTATGTTCTGAGAAATATTCAAATGCAAGTCACCTTTTCTCCTTTTTTTGTATATACTTACTTTTCCATGAGGAATATAAATGTGTTATCTTTTCAGAATCAAACACAACACTTTTAAGTGGACCTGTTACTGCAGCACTGCTGACAATGAAAGTGGGCCAGACTTTATTAAACTTGCAGGCGAGTGACTGAAACAGCTACCAGTGAGAATGACAAATGCCATTGATTGGCTCATGGCGTGGTAGTAAATACATAAAGTTGTTTTCTAGGTTACTGGAATGTCTGTAAGCGACCTGCCGGTAGCTTCAAAGTGATGTCCGATAAACAAATCACTTCCAGTGTAGATGCAACATAAGTGTAAGCAGGCTACAAAGTCAAGTTTAGCTGCCATCCATGCAAATCAGCTGATTTTAGTGCCAACCCACATCAGCCGATTGCTCCTTCTGCACATCCAACTGACTATCTCGTGCAGCTGCCGCCATTTAACCTGTTTTAGCCTGCCCACTATTCATCTCCAACCCACCCACACCCCAGTAGTATGACCACAGTCTGATCAACTGCTTGTCTTCTGAAATAGCTTAAAAAAAAATACATCCCATAATGTGTTGTTGTCAGGAGTATGTCGTACTCGCTGTCATACATTATTCTTTCTTCTTGTAAGACGAGACAAACTACAGTAAATAATTTTGCCTGTAGCTTACAAGCCTCTGTGGGGATGTGCTGTTATTATGCAATTACAGTCATTCTGACATGTATGAGTTTCACTCCCAGTGGAATAAAGTCAATTACTGATCCCCTGCTTCTTTTTCCTTCTCTCCCGCCTTTCCTCTGTCGATGTGCTTCTTTCTTCAGGTTTGGAGGAAATGCTGATGTTGAGTGGATACCCCCTGCAGAGGTGGTTTGAGTCCTCGCAATCATAGATCCGTCATCAAGGGAATAGCTTTCATCATGACTGCCTACCTCGAGACTGCGCTCCTTGACCCCTCCTGTGGAGGGTGTAATTACTGAGGGAGGGGCAGCAAGACTGAGATAAGCTTTCCTGTGAAGATAGAAATCATCCAAACCATGTAGTGTTCCTTTCTCCAAGGAATGGGGGAGGGTCTACATTTGAGTCTGATCTTTTTTCATTTATTTCTGCTTATGTAATTAGTGGAAGAGATTTTGTGATTGATTATAGTGTATGTGGGCGTGGACGTGCAAGGTGAGGAGAAAGTGACAGACAGAAAGAGAGAGAAAGAAGGAAAGAGATGGTCCTCCACATCACCCCGTATTCCAGTGCCTGTCTGCACTTCTTGGATGGCTTGTCGTGGAGCCTGGTGTTTCCCTGCTACTGGTTCCTAGACCGGCTCCTGGCGTCCTGTGTGGCCACCTCGCTGGAGAAGCGACAGCGCTCCCAGGACCCCTGCTCCTTCCTCACGTTATGTGTGCTGATCTCCGCACCCCTTTACCTGCTCCTCCTCCTCGCCTCCTTGCCCTTTGCTCTGCTGGGCTTCATCATCTGGGCTCCCCTGCAGGCAATCCGCCAGCCCTACCTGTACACCTACTGCAGGTTAGTGCCAACATGGCTATATTATTTATCACTGCTGCTGTTTCTGTGAATTTACAGGGCTCTGAAAAAGTATTTTTACCAAACTTGATTTAAACATTTAAAGGTTTCAGATCATTAATCACATCCTAATAGACAAAGTTACCCAAACAAGTACATAGTACAGTTTTTAGATGATTTCATTTATTAAAAAAACGCTATCCAACCTTACCTAGCCCTATGTAAAAAAAATAATTGGAATAGTGGTGACGGAGTGGCCGGCCTAGCAAAACTACTCCAAGAGTGAAGGTTTCATAGTGGCCTGGCCAAATTGAGATGCTTTGGCATGACCTTAAACAGGTCCACAGAGATATGAAAGACTTGTTTGAACTTATTACAAATGCTTAATACTAGTTCTCGCTGCCAAGGTCCAGGTAGGCTGGGTAGTTTTTTTCCATTAATAAATCATAGCATCATTTAAAAAACGCCTTTTTTATTTACTTCTGTTTTATATTTTATTTGTTTAATCTGAAACATGTAAGTGTGACAAAACTGCAAAAATGCTTTTTCACAGCACTGTACATAATATCTGATTTTGTAAGGATGTAGTGTCTTTTACTTTAGACAGTATTATGTAGAGTGACCTAACTGTTTTAAGGTAACACAATCTTTTCCTGCTTAAGGTTTCTACAGGTGAGGAGGGCAGACCTACAGCCAACCATGTAGGCCTTTCTTTGTCCTTGCAGTGGTTCAGTTTAAAGATGACCGGATGAACGCACTTTATACCGGTTTACACATTTTAGACTGGCTTTCAACTAAACTGTGAATGAAAATGAGGCCCTGGATCAATGTAACGTGAAAAATGGGCCGAGCAGTTGTAGAGTCATGCTTCATTTTTCATCTATGGAGCCAGTTGTTCACAGGGGTTGGCTATTTCAAGAAGGAGAAAATGAAGTCATTATCTTGTGTAAATAGTTTGCTCGTGGGTCTGCTTTCCAGCTGCAAGACTCCATCAGCTCTCAGTGGGTGTTTCGTTATCCAAACACCCACCCAGGTGGCAACCCGCCATAACCACAAAATGGGAAATACAGTATTTAGCTCTGTTTGCTGTGGGACAGCAGCACGATCTTCCTATAATTAGCAGTTTAGAGATGGCAAATGTAAAAGGTGAGTTTCTAGTATTTTAAGTATTGTTTCAACAGTCACCTAGTAACAGTTTATTGTATATTCATGGATAACGTCTTTAAAAAGGTAAAAAGCACCGATGGCAGTAGAGTTCAGGGCCAGAAGCATAAAGAGGGGGTAGAGTAGAAATGGTAGAGTGAAAATAGAAAATGTAATACATAGTATGTGTACATCACATAATAATCATTTGAGAGTAAAACAGATAAAAACAAAAACAAAAAACAGACAGGCTGCTATGATGTGTGCATGTCTGTTTTTATTCCTAAACCCTCTATAATTAAAATCGCACTATTATTATGAGAAGGGCTAAAAGTTGTAAGGCCCGGTTGCACCTTGTGGGGTACACTGACATAACTGTTTGATCCAGTTTATTTTTCTCCACAGAGTCTCAAGGACAGCCTAGCTGCTTGGTGATAGTACAGAATTAACTGTGTTCTTATCTGAAAGATGGTAAAAAGAAAATTGGATAACACGACATCCTAAGAACTTACTGAATTTACGTATAGCTTTGTTATTCTTGATATGCTGCAAAAACATCTCACATAATAAATGTATTTGTATTTCATGCTACTGACAACTCCTGAAAGATTTCTGCATGAAAACAAGTTTGTCTCAACAGTATTTTCATAACACTCATCAAAGACAAGGCTCTACAATTCAACATTTCATTGCATCAAAGTATACAGCACCAAGTTTGGGTGGCCAGATGTGTCCAAACTTTGGACTGGTAGTGTAGTAGTATTATTATAACCCCATCTCACCAGCAAAGGGTTTCAAAATACAACAACAAAAAAGAATCTACTTAAATCCAACTTAGATGCACTATTTTTCTACCTTAACAGAGTTAGATATGATCAAGAATACTAAAAGTTTATTCTACCAATTAACAAATAAACAGTTTGGCACAATGTGAGGAAATATGTACAGTAACTAAACTTTTTGTCTTAATTTCCTATTATTTGATGAGTTTTCCCCCCAGGAAGGGCAGATGTTAATTTTAAGTTAACATCTTTCACACTCTGATGTTGGTGAGACCTTTGGAGAATTGGGGAAAAATAAATTCCAAATAGAAAAGATTTTTAAAAGCTGAAAAGCACATGAGTATAATTCTACTCATCACACCCCCACAAACACCTGCTGAAAAACTGACAACAAAGGACCGTTTAAGAAGAAGATGTGAATCCAATTTTTTTTTATCTGTTTCTGGTCTGTTTGGTTGTTTTAGGTTTTCTTAGTTTTACTCGTAGCCAACATTGTTGATTATGAGCCTTCAGTTCTTGTTATTTTAAGTTACTGATTGTGTTTATGGAGCTTACAGTGGGGCAAAAAAGTATTTAGTCAGCCACCGATTGTGCAAGTTCCCCCACTTAAAATGATGACAGAGGTCAGTAATTTGCACCAGAGGTACACTTCAACTGTGAGAGACAGAATGTGAAAAAAAAATCCATGAATGCACATGGTAGGATTTGTAAAGAATTTATTCGTAAATCAGGGTGGAAAATAAGTATTTGGTCACCTCAAACAAGGAAAATCTCTGGCTCTCACAGACCTGTAACGTCTTCTGTAAGAAGCTTTTCTGTCCCCCACTCGTTACCTGTATGAATGGCACCTGTTTAAACTCATCATCTGTATAAAAGACACCTGTCCACAGCCTCAAACAGTCAGACTCCAAACTCCGCCATGGCCAAGACCAAAGAGCTTTCGAAGGACACCAGGAAAAGTATTGTAGACCTGCACCAGACTGGGAAGAGTGAATCTACAATAGGCAAGCAGCTTGGTGTGAAAAAATCAACTGTGGGAGCAATCATCAGAAAATGGAAGACATACAAGACCACTGATAATCTCCCTCGATCTGGGGCTCCACGCAAGATCTCATCCCGTGGGGTCAAAATGATCATGAGAACGGTGAGCAAAGATCCCAGAACCACACGGGGGGACCTGGTGAATGACCTGCAGAGAGCTGGGACCAAAGTAACAAAGGTCACCATCAGTAACACACTACAACGGCAGGGAATCAAATCCCGCAGTGCCAGACGTGTTCCGCTGCTGAAGCCAGTGCATGTCCAGGCCCGTCTGAAGTTTGCCAGAGAGCACATGGATGATACAGCAGAGGATTGGGAGAATGTCATGTGGTCAGATGAAACCAAAGTAGAACTTTTTGGTATAAACTCAACTCGTCGTGTTTGGAGGAAGAAGAATACTGAGTTGCATCCCAAGAACACCATACCTACTGTGAAGCATGGGGGTGGAAACATCATGCTATGGGGCTGTTTTTCTGCCAAGGGGACAGGACGACTGATCCGTGTTAAAGACAGAATGAATGGGGCCATGTATCGTGAGATTTTGAGCCAAAACCTCCTTCCATCAGTGAGAACTTTGAAGATGAAACGAGGCTGGGTCTTCCAACATGACAATGATCCAAAACACACCGCCCGGGCAACAAAGGAGTGGCTCCGTAAGAAGCATTTGAAAGTCCTGGAGTGGCCTAGCCAGTCTCCAGACCTCAACCCCATAGAAAATCTGTGGCGGGAGTTGAAAGTTCGTGTTGCTCGGCGACAGCCCCAAAACATCACTGCTCTCGAGAAGATCTGCATGGAGGAATGGGCCAAAATACCAGCTACTGTGTGTGCAAACCTGGTAAAGACCTATAGTAAATGTTTGACCTCTGTTATTGCCAACAAAGGTTATGTTACAAAGTATTGAGTTGTATTGTTGTTATTGACCAAATACTTATTTGCCACCCTGATTTACGAATAAATTCTTTACAAATCCTACCATGTGGATTCATGGATTTTTTTTTCACATTCTGTCTCTCACAGTTGAAGTGTACCTCTGGTGCAAATTACTGACCTCTGTCATCATTTTAGGTGGGGGAACTTGCACAATCGGTGGCTGACTAAATACTTTTTTGCCCCACTGTATGTGCACTGTGGCACTTTTGTCTTACATGAACATTCAAGATTAGAGTTAAGGCTCATTTGTGTCCTTGTTTCAGTTTCATTGCTTTAATTTGGCAGTTAATTGTCTCTGTGTGGTACACTGTCTCGCTTTGTTCCATTGTCTAGACTTCCTTCAGCTGTGTCTCATTACCCTTTGGTTTCCACCCTCCCAGTTACCCTTACTGTTTCCACTCAGTCTTTCTCTTAGTGTCTCTGTTGCTTCTCTGTTCTTGTCTGCTCCTTTCCTGCTGTTTCTTTCCTTGTGGATCTTTACATGTCTGGACATCACATCAACCTAATAAAAGTTGTGTTTGCAGCTCAGTTAGTTTGCTTTTAGCATCTGTGTTCAGGTCTTCACAAACTAATGACTCCAGCTGTGCTTTAGGCACCAAAACTACCTGGTCTGGGTTGAATAGATCACTTTTAAAATGTTGATCATGTTAGAATAAAACTTAGTATCATGGAGTCAACTACTACAGCTCAGTTCAGATGGTGTATGATTTCAAAACTTCAGGCGGTGTTTAAGTGGCATACACCATAGGTTTTTAGACAGTAGACGATTTTTGTAGCTTTGCCTCTGCCTACAAGTGGAACAGAATCACTACTGTTTATTTTAGCAAAGTCTGAAGTGTAGACAGCTCTATACTTTGCGCAGGTTCAGCTATCTGCTGCGAAACTCATCAGATGTTGCCTCACAGCAAAACAAACCCAAGAGTTTCTCAAGGCAAATAAATTGGATATTCTTGAATGACAAGTCAGCCAACTGATCAGAACTCAACAGAGAAGCTTTACAGTAACTGAAGAAAAAACTAAAGTAAATTGTTCAGGTTCTGAAATTATTTATTTTATTATTTATTTATTAAATTCACTGTGCTTGTGCACAGATACAAAATTTTAAAAACTGTTTTAATACCCAAATACAAATGGTCCTAACTGCATGTCTATGTAGACACATCTCTTTAAGTGACAGAAATGTAATCCATTTCTTTAGACTACATTACTGATATAATAAGGTTAATAAGCAGAAACCTCAAAACTGCTCAGCAGCTAATTGCTTTGAGAGATTCTACTTTAAAAAGTATTTGCATTTGATTAGCTTCCTTATGGCTATAAGACCCTGTGTTTGAAGTATCTGGATTTCTTTAATATTGCTCAGAGTTAGATGACCAGTATGATATTTCTCTCAATGAGTGTAGGCTCAAGATGAAGGTAGAATAAAATGGTTCTCTAAGTATATCTTTTGAAAAAAAGAAATCTGGGAAAAATTTCCTTGCTTCTTTTAAAAAAATGCTTTTGCTCCTATTGCCCTATTTTTCTTCTGGTATTATATTTGCATTTAAAGGTTGTTTTTTTTCTGTCTTGTCTAGGCCAGACAAACACCAGGCTGAACAAGGTCAAGCAGGTGCTGGAATTGGGGAATGGAGGCCACAGGGCAGAAGCTTCTGTTTCTGCAGTGCCAATGTTTGCCTTCTGCCTGACTCCCTAGCAAGGTTTAACAACCTGTCAGACACCCACCGGAGAGCACGGGAGGTAGGGAAGAGGATCCGCAATGGTGCCAGCCGACCTCAGATTAAAATCTACATTGACTCACCTACCAACACTTCTATCAGGTATGGAGAGATCAATCCAAACTTCCCTCTGCACTTATCTGCAGTAAATGCCTCTATGTTCATATTATTTCTGTTATGTTTATCAGTGCGGCGTCCTTCAGCAGCCTTGCCACAGGTTTCCGCCGTACCTCATCGTTGGACCAACGTCCAGACCAAACACACACAACCAATGGCCCAGCCGACACCGAAACTGAACCTGCCACCGAGTGCCCGATTCACCCCTCAGGTGCCACTGACTGCCCCGTTCACCCTTCTGTGAATGACCAGGGCTCTGCTGAATGCCCTGTGCACCCTGATGGGGCAGACACTACAGCAGAATGCCCTCTCCACCAAGGGGAGACTAAAAGCAGCTCAGACTGTCCCATTCACACCTCAGGGGAGGCTCCAGACTGCCCCGTGCATTCCACAGTAGCTCAGAGTGCTCCTGGTCATCATGACTGTCCCATGCATGGGGATGGGACCCAGCCAAAACCCGCAACAGACTGTCCGCTTCACACCTCAGGGGTTCAAATTAGCATCAGTGCTCCAGAGCCGGACCCCCAGGAAGAGGAGGCGGAGACAGGGAACCACCGGCCTGGAGAGCACGGAGGGGCAGACACGGGCAGCATGACTGCTTCTCGTGAGTCCCTTGCTCGTTACCATGGAAGTGATGGCGGGATAGGGATATCCTCCAACAACACTCTCTCTCATGTCCCACGCACATCAATATTCAAGCGCCCAGGTCGAAAACGCCGCCACGGAGATGAAACATTCGACCATGACATCTCTGCCTTTTTCCCTGCCAACTTGGATTTCCTGGCTCTACAGGAGGTATTTGACCATGGATCGACTACTAGACTACGGCGCCAGCTGCATCGCTATTTTCCCTACATCCTGAGCGATGTTGGGCGGTATGGCTGGAAAGGCTGCTGCTCCAGGTTCAAATTCCTGAACAGTGGGCTCATGCTGGCAAGCCGCTACCCAATCCTGGATGCACGATACGAGTGCTACCCCAATGGCAGAGGGGAAGATGCACTGGCGGCCAAGGGGGCGCTGTTTGCCAAGGTTTGACTTCATTATCTCTCTCTTTTTCTGCTTTGTTGTTACTGTTATGAGGCACAGGTTTCTCTTTAGTCGGTCTGCTGAGCTGTGTGAAGTAGCAGACTTTCAGCTTCAGAGTCGTGACCACTGGTTTGGTTTCTGAGAGGATGGTCTACTCTTCAAGAGATCCTCTAATATTTCATGTATTTGACCTTTCTTGAAATGCTTTTCACTTCCCTTTGAGGACATTTAGACTCCTTCCAGGAGGCAGAGCATTTGGTTTTAGGTGTTATTATCAGCAGCATTTTAGAGTTCTTTTAGTTGGCTAAATGCATCAGGATAAAAGCAGAACCTACCAGCTGACCATTTTGTTGTCACTATCTTACAAATTAGTCTTTGATTCTAATAAGGTATTATTGGGAGTTCATCAGAACTGGCTTATCCACCATCAGTATAGCAAACACAAGCTCAATATTTAAAAAAAAAAAAGAGGATTGCTGAGGATAAAATCATGTAACATGTTTATTCTTGGAGCAATTCGGCAAGCAAAATAGGCCAAAGTGAATCAACTCCAAGTCTCCATCAGGGTCTATTTTGCTTGCTGAACTCCTCCAAGAATAAACTTCATACATATTTTTATCCTGAACGGTGCCGCAGCAATCCTCTTTTTCTCTGATTGCGAGTCTTAGAATCTCTCCACCTCTTTTCCTGGAATCATTTTCCCACCCACATAGCATTTCTTTTGCATCTGAACTGAAATTCACTTGCGGACCTAATATTTCTCGCAGCAAAGACGTGTCTCCGCTCTGACAACTGCTTAGCGCTACTTCAGCTGTAATCCTGTCATCACTGATGCTGCTCTGGGACTTTGGCATGGCAGTAATTGAATCTGCCCATTAAGTCCATTTAAACTAAATTAACTTATTATACATTTGTGAAAGAGAGTGTGAAAGAAGGCCAGAGAATCAGATCTAAAATGACCTGTCAGCTGCGTACATTAATTATAGATCTCAGCATTGTGGAATCGTAGCGATTGTATGGGGAACATTTTTTAAATGCTTCTGTTATTCTTCCAGGTGTAACAAACTTTGCATAACCCATGTGTGATGCAACTCACACACGTTTTCTACAAATTTGCAACAATGCTGCACTGAGGTAGAAAACACAAATTAAAGCACTTGCTAAATGCATTTGCTTACACCCACACTCATTCACACATCACACATCTGTCACGGTGATGAGTGAATGCACCGCAGTAATTAGTGATCACTCACAGCCTTTCCTCAACGATCACTGTAGTGTCGACAAAAAAATGCTTTCGAGATTTTGTTTTCTTTTTTATTAATGTTTGTTGAAGAATTATCATAATGTTTGTTTTTCAGTGAAGATATGATAACGATAAGCATAATGATATGGCTTTGGTAATTAACGAGAGAAAGCATTGTTTACAAATGTAACTCGATTTTTTTAAACACCGCCAAATCACACTTTTCACGTGTTGGTAATTTAATACAATTACCAATCACTGTGGGCTGCACTTGTATAATTGTATGAATTATTTTGCAATTACTGAGTCTTTCCAGATTCTGATTTTGCATAGTTTTACATAGTTTTGCATAGTTTTACATAGTTTTACATAGGTTTTTAAGGGGCCTTTAATATGAAATCAAAAACAGTTGACTCAGTAGGAAATCAAGAACATAAAAAGCAAAAATGTATTGATTGCAAACAATTATAAAATGTAACAAACAGATATGGATAATATAAAAAATTCTAAATAGAAAATTGGCTAAATGCTAAAACCCGCATCCTAGCAAGCAAAGAAAACATACAACCTTTGTTCTTCTATTTTTTTTTTTTTTTTATTGGCTGATATCATTAGTTTTGACCTGATAATGGATTTGCTATCAGCAAAGCCTGTAAGTCTCATCTGCTGAGATTACTTATTGCCAAAATGTGAGAAAGAACAACAATACACTCTACAATTATATATTCCGTTCGGACTGCAATTATTATGCTCATTTTCAGTTAACATGCATAATGTGTTTCCAATTAACATGCATTTGAATGTATAACATATAGAAAATGGCTGTTTTAATTTTCCACTGTGAAAAATCTATATGTCAAAACACAAGGACAAGTTTTTGAGGATGACTTGTGATAAAAAAAATAATAATAATAATCTCACATCAAAAAGAAATTTATTCCATTACTTTATTTTACCAGAAAGTTCCACTGAGATCAACTCCTGTGATGGCACACCTGTCAATCAAACTGCCACATCTCCAACTCAGTTTAAAAAAAAATCACCCCACTCAGAGTTTTTATGAGGGGCAAAACTATGCAAGAGAGGCCAAACTTGTATCTTTCCCAGGCTGCAAACAAGCTTCCTGATGCTGTAAATCTGGACATGTTTGGTACTCACTTGAAGGTCTTTTGGAGCCACCCTCAGATGGGATTTTTGCCACTTCTGCAAAGATTCATTTTTCAGCTCTGTAGCTTGCCCTGTGGTTTAAACTCAGCGGAGCATTTAGGATTCAAAGTTCTTTCCCTCCATTACTATAGAGGATGTATGTGTTAGAATGACTTCATCATCAGCATAAAGGCATAGTTTTGCTTTAATATCTTTACTCAAGTCATTTATAAAAAAGCTGGAAAAAAACACACACTGCTGCAAATGGAAGCCTGCAAAATGCCTTCATATCTGGCACAGCTGTTTATGATCAGAACGAGTGCAGTTGATTGGTTTGCTCAGCTGCCTGTTGGGGTGTCTGCTCGGTGGCTCGGGATACAGGTCAGCACTGCGCTGAATGGGCTGTATTGCAGTGGGACATTGCCTTTGCTAATATTTGTTTCTCTAGTGCACTTTATTGCATTGCACATTATTTATGGGGAGTTGTTTCACCTCCCAACAGAGCGCCCATGATTCTGTCGACTCCTTTCATCTACTCCATAAGTGCAAAGTTGGAGAGTCCATTAGGCAGCAGGTAATAAGACATTACATGACTATGTGTTCTCTTAATGTAGACATGCAAGAGCAGGAAGTTGTATGGGTTTATGACATGGTTACTAATGTACTAATGCGAGCACATGATGAGCGATGGGGTTGCTATAGTAGCTGCTGATGTCCTTCTTCCTTTGTTTTGGCGTTATGAATTTTTCTTGGACTGTAGTCTTTTTTTATTCTGTATCATAACCAAACACACAGAATGTTGGGAGAGATAATGCAGTACAACAGTCAGGTGCATATGTGCCATTTTTTGTGTGCATGTTTGTGATGATGTGTGTTGTGAGTATGTGAATTCATTAATCAGCCTCATACTGTAACTATCAGGAATCTGGATCTGATCCAGTTCCCGGGTCTGCTTTATGTGGCCCGATGCTACCTGGATGTATTTGTTTATGTCCACCTATGCACTTACATCCACAAGATCTAATAAAGACACATGCTGTCACAGCTTGCATACTGACAGTCGCATCCTGTTAGTCCTGCTGCCTGCTGACTGTCGCTGCAGCTTACAAGCTGCCTTCACATTCCTGTCTCACCACCTCAGTGCACAGGAGGTCACTCCAGGTCTCATGACAAGCTGGCTGTTAGCCAGCTGGCAGGCGTTGTACTGGCAGCAAGCTGCTAACGCTCCCAGCTGACAAAAAACAAACAGTAATAAACAACAATGTTCCCTTTAAGTAAATCCCATGGATTCACTTAAGGAACTGTGCCGTGTCTGAAGTACCAAAAAATAGACAATCTAAAAATATCTGCTGCACTAAAAGCAGCCCATCGATGGAGGGAAATTACCTTGGATTTTGTTTTTTTAATTATTATTGATTAGTTTTATGGATATTGTTGTGATACACCCCCTGCTTCACCCTCCAATAGCAAAATGCGACTTTTAAACAGCAATCACAGTTTGTAGTAACCTCTTTCTATATTGAATAAAAAAGAATAAAAGTAAAGACATTTGCTGAGTACCTGGTGAATTCATAATTGGCCCAAGACACCAGGAAACATCCCTTACCTGAGAACCCTTTTTATTGTTTTATTTACCCAGTGAATTCAGGCTTTAACTTTGGACAGTTGAATCTATGAGAAATATTCTTGCTCATTTTTTGCTCGGGGTTTGGGAACATCCAAGTTTGTAAATGTGAGAACTTGAGAACGAAGCAACGTAGGAGTTTCAAATTGGTGCATCTACTAAAAGTCTCAGATGAGTTTGAATCTTAGTTATCTTGATCTCAAGGTCAAAGGTCAAGTGTCTGAAAATGTTGTGAATGCTCTAACTTTCACGAGGTCACGTGGGATTTTTAAAATTCATGACCATAGATGCATGCAGTATTTTTGCATCTAGAAAGCATATGTCCCCAGATGTATGAGTAATGGATGGAAACCATTTTCACTGAATTATAAAATAAACCAAAACATAGGCTATTTAAACTACTGCAACCAAAGAATGAAATGAAAAGCATGAAAAAATTATTAAAATATAACAAAAAACGTATTCTTCCATACTTTTTTAATCAGTAAAAAACAGGACAAAAACAAACTGACCGTCACCATTTCAGAGCCTCTGTTGGGAAACTCGATCATATTTGTGCAGTGGATCAACATTTTTCTCTAACACTGGGTTGAATAACCTCAAATCAAAGTCCACCTATTTCTTTTTCTGGATTTCATGGTCATAATTAGTGGGTGTGTCACAGGTGAACGCCCGCCTTGATCTTTCTTTGGCCGTCCACTCACTTCCTTGTGGACTGCTGATGCTTTCCATTTTTAAAGGCTCGTTCATTTCTGTTTCACAGATGTTTTTTACACCTGGTAATTGTTGTTAGCGCCATCCGTCAGATGCTTCTTGTTTCCTCTCCAACTGTAAAATGTAGATATTAAGATAAAGAATATGTTGCCAGTTAAAACCTCTCCTATCATCAGCTATATCAGAATACATACTAATTAGGACTTGTTATTACGATCAGTTTGGGTAACCAAATCACATTTTGCTGTTTCCCATCCTCGCAGCCTGTCTGTC